TTTATTTTCTCCTCAATTGCAGTGCGTCTGCCGCTTTGACCGCCAAGGTGCACTGTGCGAGTTACCCATCATCATCAAGAATGCCGCCTTCTCCGGCGATTCATATGTGTCGCACCGCATCCACAAGGACATACCACATCATGAGTCATTGGATTCGGTGCTGCCGATGCATGTACAACTGAAGGTGCGCACACGTGCCACAAACGGTCTGATAATGCTGGCCGCTGCTCAGGGCACCAAGGGCGGTCACTACATGGCGTTGTTCCTGCAGAAGGGTCTATTACAATTCCAATTCTCTTGCGGTTTACAAACGATGCTGCTCAGTGAGCTGGAGACACCGGTGAATACGGGCAATGAGATAACAATAAGAGCAGAGTAAGTACTAGTAGAACATAATATTTGCAACACATTTTTAAAATTTAGATAAAATTTTAAAATAACTGTAATTTTATATTAATATATGTGGCTGTGCTTTTATTAAATACTAGCATAGTATAGAAATGTTCACTCGAACAAATTTTGAAGTTTTCAAAAAGTTATTGCATATATTAGGGCGCTCTTGCCCTGAAATGGAATAAGCAGAAATATACACATAATTGCCATTATCACAAAGACCCAAACGAAAATTTTCTAGTTTGGCCAGATCGAGCAAAGCGGTACAGCAATTCGAAGTTTTAAAAATTATTTGCATATTTTTAGGCGGCAAATAATTTTTTTGCTCTAATGAAGTTGGCATAATGAGAAAAAGTCACCGAGTATTTTCTAGTGTGGCCAGATCGATCAAAGCGGAACATAAATTCGAAGTTCTAAAAATTATTTGCATATTTTTAGTTGCCATTTTTTCATTATAAAAATTAGTTGCCATTTTTTTCTTTTAATAGAGATGTCATAATGAGAAAAAGTCACTGAATAATATCTAGTGTGGCCAGATCGATCAAAGCGGGACAGCAATTCGAAGTTCTAAAAATTATTTGCATATTTTTAGGCAGCAAGCATTATTTTTCATATAATTGAGAATTTGTATAAAATTTTGGTATTCCCATGTTATTTTCGCTTCCACAAGTATCTTAGAACAAACAGAGCGGCCAAACTTTGAACACACCTTCGAGTACTGCAACTGCTTAGCATACAACTTAGAATGATAGCCCTTAATCCAACAATAACCACACACACATACACTCACACATATGTATGTACATATATGTGTATTTCGTGCTGCCAAACTAGTCAAGCCGATTGAGTAACCGAAGCTAGCATCATTTAGCGGGCAAATCAATGCATATACTTAGTGGTCGTACACATATAACAACAAGAACAACAACAACAGTCATAACAATACCATAACTACAATGATAGCCTAGGTAAAGGCAAACGTCAAGGCAAAGATGCTAACCAAAGCAACGAGGACGACTGCCAGGACAATTGTTATCGCGCTATAATTATCGTAATTGCGTGCACACAATAATGGCTCTTGAGAAAGTCGCCTCACTCCATGCCAAGCTGCGCTGTGTGAGCGATTGGATGGAGAGCTCTGAGTGAAAGCGTTGAGGGGTCGATAGGAAATGCCGCCAAAGGACATAATTTCGGCGTGAAAGCTCATTAAGGCTAAAAGCGGTAATTTCGTGAATGAGAATGCCCTTCCGCTTCCGTTAGCGCCACGCGCATCTATTTACATACCTTTTTACATACCGTTATAGTACGTCGATGTGAAGGGAAGGCACTGCGCTTACTACTACATATTCTAGGTTTGCCGTTAGGGATATTTATTTTCTCGCTTTCTCCTCATTTTCCCTTATCTTGCGCTCGTTTTGCTCTTTGCCTTACGATTTTCCTTTGTCTAAATAACTATTTGCCAGTGTTAGTTTTATTAGTTCCATTTGCTTACCTACTTATTTCTCTATTTTCGATATTCGGTAAATAGTCCCCGGAGAGCAATAAAAATGTGGTTTGTGTCGTGCTTTCGCCTTTTTTTACAAGCTTGAAGAGTGCATTATCCACTAAGGATTTGGCAAGCTATAAAGAATATGCTCCGTAATAAAAGCATACATACACACATATATATGTTATATGCATATATGTATAATACAAGTATGTGCTGAAATGTATGTACACACTGCTATATATGTGTGTCTGCACGTTCATATTTATATATGTATGTGTGCGTGCTTGCTCATATCGCCCCGAGCCGAATGCTCTTAAACTGCCGTCTGGCATTATTATCATTGAGCATGAGCGCTGGCATTAGTGGGGCAAAATGGTCAAGTGCGCCTTGAGCCAAAATGTTTGAATAGTGTACTCAAGTAATGCACTTCAAACGGTTATTATCTCCCATACACATATGCACGGCTGCAAGTAAATATGACAACTTGTGTGGTATGCCATTCTAAGTTCAGTTGTATGTGTGTGTTTGCTATTTGAGCAACCAATAATAAATTAAACCCATTCTACGTCGTTATATTGAGTAATAGTAAAAAAGTGGGAGAAAATAAATGTGAGAACATCTAGCATTTTATGAGACTTTTACTATATTTTGACTTCACTATTATGTTAACATGACACTGCGCCGAAATGTAGGCAACGGTTAAATTATTTGCTTCTTTGTTATAGAAAATAAAGTTTTATGGAATTCAGTTATTGTACAACACGATACAAGTAACTAAGATTTAAGAAAAAAAGAGTTGGTCTTTCCGACCGTCTGATCGTCTTCCTGTCAGTATATACGTGAACTAGTCCCTCATCAGAACCATCAAAAGCAAGTTCTTGTATGGAAAACTTTTTTTATTTGAAGAGATATCTTCAAGAAATTTGGTACAGAATTTATTTTTAAGGTGTTTGTTTTTTATTTTTATTAGTTATAATTATTAATCTTACTATATTCAATATAAATGAACATATTTCAAATATATCTACATACACTTTCATATTTAATGTCTCATATGAGTATGTGCGTATAAATACATAAATATAAATACGTGACATCTTTGTTTTTGGTTCATTGAATGTTTGTGGCTATTAACGCAAATTCATCAGCATGTGGCAAAATGTGCATTTTCGATCCAACGACGGTCAACGAGTTGAGCACGAAATACGCATTACCAAAGTATTCGGAAATTTATAGCTCGTAAATAGGCAAATAAATACGTATACTACTACTACTGCCACTAATACATACACATATACTTATGCTACACTTTTTCCGCACTTATGCGCACTGGCATGCTCTTGCCTCTTCCATTTTCGCCTAATTTCCGATAAGTTGGTGCTCATTCACTCAGCTGATCATTTGCGACGCTTTTACTTGGGTCCTTTTTGGTCATGGCCAACAAACCATGTAAGTTGGCTTATTGCACTTGAATAACGCTTGGCTAGTGGACTAAAGTGAAAGTGGTGGCCTGATGTGCGGTTGAATCAATAAAATCATAAAATATGTACATACACATATATATATATACTTTACATGGATATGTAATAAATATGTCTGTGAAGTGGTGTACAAATATGCTTCCTGTGAAATATGTGTTTTTGAGTTATTAAATGCTCATTCAAGCTCAAGTGTTGGGTCAAGTATAGTATTTTAGCATATCTTACATACATAGGTGAATACATATATACATATACAAATATACCTGCTTCTTTAGTGAAAATATCAAATATTGGGGGAAAATTGGGAAAAAAAACCTTGTGTGAAAGTATTACGATTAATTGTTAGACCACTTATTCTACCAGAAATTATTACTATATTACAAAAACAAAACCCAAAATATTAAATTCGGCCGCACCGAAGCTACAATACGCTTCACCGGTACTTTTATTTATAGTATAAAAGGGTATAAAAAAATCTTGATTTTCATCGAACAGCTTACACTGCTGCAGCTATTTGCTATAGTGCTCCAATCCGAACAATTTGTCTTGAGATTTTTGCACTGTACAAATATTTGATAATAATCTATGTCAAATTTCATAAATACAATTTGTCAAATAAAAAAGTTTGCCATAGAAGAACTTGATTTTGATCGGTCAGTTTGTACCGCAGCTATGTGCTATAGTGCTCCGATCTGCACAATTTATTCGGAAATCGTAGCATTGCCTTGCATAATAATTTTTACAAAATTTCGTAAAGATATCTTGTCAAATCAAAAAGTTTTCCATACAAAGACATGATTTTGATGGTTCAGTTTGTATGGCAGCTATATGCTATAGAGCTCTCATATCGGCAATTCCTACAAATTAGCAAATTCTTAGCGAGAAAAAGAAGTGTGCAAAATTTCAGATCGATAACTCAAAAACTACATACGAACAGACAGACGAGCATGGCTAAATTGACTCAGCTCGTCACATTGATTTCATTTCATTTAACTATATATTTACTTTAGAATGTCTGGCACTTTTTCTATTGGCTGGCAAATTCGTGGCAATCTTAATATACATTGTTCAGGGTAAAAAAACCAAAAAAGGTTTTTTTATAATTTTTTTCGTTTACTTATTTATTTCGATAATGCCAGACCAATAAACTTAAAAATACCGCGAAAGTAGAAAATTTAATATATAAAATATTTTAGTTTAACTGCCATAAACACAGAGATAACTAGGATCACTTCGAACAACAATTCAAAAACAAAAAATATAGTATTTTTACCCTTCATTTGACTTTCAAAACTAATTTTCTTAATGCGGAAGTTCAATGCAAACTAATGGATTGAAAGAAAACTTATGAAATTCCCTGAGCCAAACTTAGCAATCAAATTGTCAATGGTCAAACTGAAATTTAACAGTAAAAAGTTTTTGGCAGCACCACCCGCTTTTCCAATTCATTGAACAATCGAATGCCCGAAACACAAAGGCGCCAGAACACGAGTGAGGCGCACGCAACTGGCAAATAGATTCAAATAGACAAGAAAATACTCGTATCCAAGTAAATATATGTATGTACAAATATGTGTCAATGTGTGTATGTGTGTGTGTGCATAGAAAAATTTATCAATGATTTAGCTACAACTCACCTGAGCCTCGAGTTTACCGAAACCAACAATCAGTGACCCAGTTTGTTGCTGCAATTCCTGACAAACAATAAAACAACAAAAAAATAAATAAATTGAATAAGTGCAAAACAAAATAAATGTAAACAAAAAAAACGACGAAAACTAAAGTAAAAATAAGGAAATTCGAAAATACACAATATGGCCAACATTTCTCATATGAGCTACTAATAGGGGTCATTTCTCATTTCTTGTGCTTTTACTTTATTTCAATTTCATGTTTTTTGGTTGTTTTCTATTATCTATGCTGCATAGAAGATAGAGGAATGCCAGCAATTGTTTTAGCGCAGCAAAAACAGCGAAAAGGGAGGAAAATAAGTAAATATTATGCAATCAATGCAATTGTAACTCACTAAGTTCTACTCTCGAATGTCACATAAAAATGCCAGGACAAAGCTTAAACGATAAAAAAAGAAGGAAGAAAGTGTAAAGAAATGAAAAAAAGCAACACAACATTGTTGAAAATATCAGAAGAAAATAAAAATAAGAAAAACCTGGCAAAAGCAATAAATAGTAAACTGAGGGCCAACACAAAGGCAACGTATTGTTCGTAGAGAAACCAAGGAACCCTAACAAAATGAAGCGAGAAGCAAATAAGCTAGGCAAAGTATGAACAGAACCGCATGTTAGATGCGCAGGAGAATGTAAAATATTGAGGTCAAGAAATAATAGAAATAAGTATGCTTTTTTTATCGTATGTAGATGATAGCCGAAGATTTTAAACAATTCTGCTATTTTCGATACCTTGATACTCAATACCTTAAACTGCAACTTCATATTAAGCTTTTCATGTGCTTTGGCATTCAGCGCTTTATTCGGCTTTAACTTATGCTGAATACGTTACCCTACAACTCTTAAACTATAACTCCATACACAGCTTTTCATGTGACATTCAGCTTCTTATTAAGCTCTCATTATCTTAAGCTGATTAAGTACTATAGCCAGAAGCTTATCAGGTGATTTAATTGCGGCATTCAGCACTTTATTCCGCTATAATTTTCTTAAACTGAGTACGTTATACTAGAACTCTATATAAAGCTTTTCATGTGTTTTGGCATTGAGGGATATATTCAGCTCTCATTCTCTCATTTGTCATAAGTGCTGATAGCCAAAAGCTTATCAGGCGCTTTCACTGCGGCATGCAGTGCCTTAATCAGTTATCGTTCTCTCGAGCTGAATATGTGCTGAAAGCCAAGAATTATCAGTGGCTTTCATTGAGGCACTCAGCGCTTTATTCAGCTTTCACTCTCTTATTTCATTGCGACATTCACCGCTTTATTTAGCTATTCTTCTCTTAAGCTGAATACGTTACGCAATAACTCCATATAAAGCATTTCAGGTGCTTTGGTATTGAAGGATGTATTCAGCTCTCATTATCTCATTTCTCATAAGTGCTTAAAGCCAAAAGCTTATCGGGCGCTTTTATTGTGGCATTCAGCTTATTCAGCTTTCACTCTCTTAAGCTGAATACGTTACAGTAGTTATCGCAAGGTCAAATGAACTAGAGCGATTTAAAATATCCTAAAATTAAGGCAGGCAGTAAAGTGTATCAGAAGATATCTATGTGCTAAAGTTGGTTAAGATCGTTTGAGTAATTGCTGTAATATAAAAATTCGAATAGAAGCGGCTGGTATCACGACCATAGGTACTATACCATACTCTTTGAACTTTTTTGCCAGCATTGAAAAGCAGCATGTATTTCTTTCTTAAATCGATATTTCATAAAAATTTTGAGATTTTTTGATAAGTCATAAAATGCATGCGACTTTCGATGTTCGAGTTTCGATTCCCAATTGCCAGCAAATCTCGAGGATCTTAACTCGCACCTTTATTTGGAGGAACTTTTAACATTATTTTGAATAAATATTTTTATGGGCGTGGCAGTCCAACTAATATGCTTAAAGCGTCTTTATTTCGGGGTTTCCGATTTTTTTTATACCAAATTTCCAGAACATATCTCACTAAAGCGTCGAAACGGACTGGCAAAATAGTAAAGATACAAATTGCAATAACTCTGCTTATTATTTCATATTATTTTTAACTCTACACGCAACTTCGGTTTAAACCGTTAGTGGAACAAATTTATTATACTCAGCGCAACATCTGGTGAGAGTATCAAAATGAAAGTGAAACATATTTTATTTCAAGCTATATGACGTTACTTCAAGGTATATACACATACACACACCAGAACATGGTGTGATTGAAGTACATTGTAGCAATTTCGCCGCATATTCCTGCTGCCACTGATTCTCGCCGTCGTGGTCGCATTTCAACTATATTGCCTTATATTTGTTGTTATTGCAGTGTTTTTGTTGTTGTTTCTGCTGTCCATGCTGCGTTGCCAATAAAATTCACGTGTGTAACAATAAGGCAAAACACTCACGTACAAGCAGGTGGCACGCGGACGCTATAAAATACAACTTGATGTCGCTACAATGCTACTTATAATGGGCTACAAAGTAAGAAAGAATAAGCAACAACAGCAAAAAGGTTTTGGTAGTTAAACATGAGCTCAAAGTTGCATTATTATGCATGAGTGGCAGATCTGGATGTGTTTGAAGCACTTCTCGAAGCAAAATGGAAAAGGAAATAAGATTTGTTATGGTAGCAGTAGCAAATGCAATCAATTAAAAAGTGGCAGTGTGGCGATTGTGCCGGGACAATACATTTGTACTTATACATAAAATGTAATAAGCAATTGTAACTTTAGATTTGCTATATCTAATCGGAAATTTTGATTACCCATTAACTCAAGCTATAACTCCATATAAGATTTTTCAGGTGCTTTCGAATTCTATGTCTTATCCAGCTATTCATCTCTTGAACGTTACTTATCGCTAGGGCACATGAACTAATGCGATACGAGTATACCGAACTGTTGTAAGCCGAATTCGAACGAATAATGAATTTTCAATGTATCCTTTTATGACTAAAATACGGTCGAAGGTTTGCCAATACCTGATTTTTTTTTTTATTTGCAGAACAAGAAATGACCTGGAAGTGTGAGAAATAAAGATTAAATATTTTTGTTTGTTCAGAAATCAGCTGTGATACAATTTTATGAACTCCTTATAAAATTCTATCACAACGCCACCTGGCGTTATTTTTAGATACAAATAAACACCGATAATTGACTCCACTACCCAAACTAATAATTAAATAAACTACAAAAATTATTTCTTCGACCCGAAAAAACAGTAAATTTGCATAATAATTATATTACTTGATCAAATTGTACTAAATTTTAATTATATAACTAGTTTCCGACTTTAAATACCCAAAACCAAAGATGTATTGCTTATAAAATCTCTTGATATTTTGTTTGGGGAAGTGTCAAACCTCTATGAAAAACGAAAAAAATCAGAGCACGTTGCCTACATTTAGGCACATATGACACTATGACTACCAAATAATAAATAATATAATAAACGATGAAATAAGAACTCAAACCTTCACTTTCAATAATTTCTCATCATACAACTCAAAAACGTTGCCTACATTTAGGCTTGTAGGACAAAAGAACCATTCGAAATGCTGAATTTAAATAAAATTTGCCTTTAAAAACTTATAAAATAAACCGAAACTAAATTTCTAATAATTTAAACACCAAATGCAAACAAATTAACAAATTTCTGTAAACTTGAAAAGCTTTTAGATTTTTGGTTGCTTACATTTAAGCGCAAGAATGTACTATACAAAAACGCGCACGGTTTGCTTTTCAATAGCAAATATTTCCAATACATAAATTCGTATATTTATTTCAAAAGTAAAAAAATGTTGCACACTTATTTAATTCAATTTGCACTGTGCAACAATTGTTGCAGGCAACCCAATAAGCAATATAGAAATATTGAATTGGCTGCTATTCAAGGCAAAGGTTCGCAAAAGTGTACTTCTAACGAAAAATACAAAGCGTATATAAACTTTATTGCAAAGAATTTCAGCTATTAGCTTCAAACGTGTGCACTCCTACTTGCTGCCACGTACTCTCTCCAAAGTCGCCACTGTAGCCCCCACAAATTGGTACACAAATTCCACACATGTCAGTAGCCACATACAAGTATATGCCAACAAAGTTTATTTATATAACATATTGAATTTGCACTATTTTCACATAATCTGCACATACATACATATATATGTGTGCATGTATATATGTAAAGAGAAAAAGCAAATTTCCTCTGGCCAGCACCCACGCTTCCTCCACATGTAGCGCGCTTTTCCGTTGCAAACAAAGCATATGCAGCAGCTCACCTTTGACTGACCGCCAATAAATTCCTGTTCAAGGACATTGTGCCAGTTACGGCAGGCGCACGTGCAACCATGACAACAACAACAACAGAAACTGTGAACATTGGAATACTTTAACACATACAAACATAGTTCTAAGTTAACAATCAACGGCAAATAAATAAAAAAACGGAAATGAAAGAGAAAAATTCGAATGCAAAACAAAAACAAAAAAAATGTTAACTTCGGTTGCACCGCAGCTAGAACACCCTTTATAAATTAAAAATACTGCTTATGAGGACTTGGTTTCGGTCGGTCAGTTTGCATGGCAGCTATATGCTATAGTGGTCCGATATCGGCGGTTCCGAAAAATGAGCAAGTTTTTGGATAAAAAGGGTGTGTATAAAATTTCAGATTGCTATCTTAAAAACTGAGGGACTAGTTCGCATATATACTGCTCTACTAACTAACATATAGTCACACGTATTTATATGTGTGTGTGATCGTGTTGACAACAGGTTGGTTAGTTGCTGAGTTCACCATCGCCAGGCACCTTCACACCCATGCATGGACCTACGCCATGGCATGACTAGACAGTCGCTCGTTCCTCCATTTGTACATATTGTACATAGGCTACTGTAGCGAGCTGTTATTGCCGGCGTTGGGCAATTTCGCTATTCGCTTAAGAAAACTTTACAAGCTCGTAAATAAGCTAGTAAAAATTTACGCCACAAATAACTAACGCATAAATAAAGTACCGCTACAAAATGCACACACACGCAAGCACT